GGAAAAAACTTCAACTTCTTTTTTATAAAGATGACTCTAGAATTTAACCTCTAAACCCTCTCAAGTTCCATCACTACATTTCAACTACTAGCTGCTAGCTCCACCTAACTACTCTGAGAAGCTCGAACTTGGTGTCCAGTCAACCTCAACATTTGTCTACTCATACAAGTTCCTCCTCGGGTTTTTCTTATTCCTTTAAAAACAAAACAAAATAAACAACACACACACACACACACACACACACACACCCATTGTACCAGTCATCCAGGCTCTTAATCACAGTAATTTCGATTTTTCTGCTCCTCTTCTTTCTACTCCCCTCACCCTACTCCATCTAATGAGAAGCCAAGTTCTACAGATTGTACCACATACCACAGGTGCTGCTGAAACCTGGCACTTTCCAACTATGAATGTCATCATGATGTTCTAAGCCATCAACCACTTTTGATCTACACCAGTATTCCTCCAATGTTTCTACAAAAGTACCTCTAACAGCAGAGAAAATATAAACGGTGGGGAGGAGGGTACCCTTATGGAATGTAACCCTTAGCGGCTTTTAAATCTTTCTATACCCACTTTGGAGAAATTTCTTTGTAGACTCCTGTTATCTTTAAAAAGTTAGGCAGATTTCGCATCCTCCCCCATCTTTTTTTTTTTTTTTAAGAATACAAAAGGCTTATTTACATATCCAAGGTACTCAGATCCTACATATGTGGACATGCTAGCTCCTTCTTTTAGAATAAACTGATGATGGGCAATAATCAATATCTGAAACTTTTTTTTTTTTAATTTACTTATTTATTTTTGTCTCCACTGGGTCTTCATTGCTGCACGCGGGCTTTCTCTAGTTGCAGCGAGCGGGGGCTACTCTTTGTTGCGGTGCGGTGCGCGGGCTTCTCATTGCGGTGGCTTCTCTTGTTGCGGTTCCTCCATTTATTTTCGCTTTAACATTCTAGGAAGCGTCTAGTTAGCTGTCGGTGAGACAAACTGATGCTTTGAGAACATTTTCTACGTTTATCAGGAGTTTCACATGGGGTACCTGTGTTCTGGTTTGAGAAGAATCCCTGTAGACCCCACCTGGTCTCTCTGCCCTCGGTCTGTGTGTATGTGCCATTTTACTTCATCACACACTCCAGTAGTGCCACGCTGCTACCAAATTAAGTATAAGCTGGTTTCTTTTGATTCAAAGCCCTCCAAAAATGATCACTCCAATTTTATTTCTGATACTAAGTTACTTTTTTGCAAGCTGAAATGCTTTGATTAGTATGTTCTCAGTATTTTAATTGAATCTGGTTGTTGGCATGTGGCTTACTTCCATAGCCATTTAGCTAGCACAGTGGTTCTCAGAGTGTGTTCCCCAGACCAGAAACATCAGCATCACCTGAGAACTTGTTAGAAATGTGTATTTTACGTCCTGTCCTATACCAGACCTGCTGAATCAGAAACTCTGGCTGAGCAATCTGCGCTCTAGCAAGCCCTCCACGGTGATTCTGATGCAGCTGAAGTTTGAGGGCCGCTGGTCTAGCATTTAGTTTTTGAATTTCAAATGGAGTAAGAGATGGATTTCAAAAAAAAAAAAAAAAGAAGAACCTAATGGAATATAAACTATTATTTAAGTGCAAAATGTTTTTTTTTTTTGCAAAATGTTTTTTTAAGACAAAATGTTAACACTCACTAAAGGCTCTTTTACTAGAATTCTGCTACTAAATATAATTTTCATATAGGTTCTTCTTAATTTAGAAAATGTGTTCTAAAGGAAGACCAGATTAAACAATTTTTAGTTCATTTGTCTCCTCCTAGTGGCAGGCTTTTAAATATTGACCACGACAACCTCATTTATGTTTCTCAGAAATCATAGTTCTGAATTTTTTTCATGATTCCTCTTATTAGCTACAATTAAAGTCAATTGGCCCTCCTACCAAATTACATAGATTCTTCTATATTAGCTCCAACTATGGCTGTAGAAAACCATGTAATTTATCTCTTCCTTCGCTCTTTTTTTTTCTTCTTTTTTTTTTTTTTTTGCGGTACGCGGGCCTCTCACTGCTGTGGCCTCTCCCGTTGTGGAGCACAGGCTCGGGACTCGCAGGCTCAGCGGCCATGGCTCACGGGCCTAGCCGCTCCGCGGCATGTGGGATCCTCCCAGACCGGGGCACAAACCCGTGTCCCCTGCATTGGCAGGCAGACTCTCAACCACTGTGCCACCAGGGAAGCCCCCTTGGCTCTTTTTAATCTGACTTGCAAATCTTCCCTCATTTTGTTACCAACTTCTTAGCAGTAGAAATTCATTACTTAGAACATTTGAAATGAGTTTTCTTCCTTTACAGAATGTCAACAACATCCAGGTGTTTACCTTTATTCCTCTCACCACCGCTCCCTTTCTGGCAATGCCACGGGAACCACACAAAATCTCCAGGGTACTGGGAGAGCCACTGCCTCCGAATCTCTTTTCAGTGAGCACTTTGAGCCCTCAAGCCCCTAGGCTATATTGACTTAGGGTGTGAACAGATTCCTTTGACTCTTAAAATCAACAAGACAGGTTTGATTTCTTCCAAAAGATTTTATTAATATGGCAGGATAATTTATGGACATACTAGTACACTACATTTTCCCCTTGATCTCTTCCAAGCGGGCAGCCAGGCCACTTGTATTCCTTTGTCTTGGATGTCTAAAGGATGGAAAGCTGAAGCTACTTGAAGACCGTGGCTTTTCCCATCTATTGTTAGAGTCTGAGCTCACTGAAGAAATTATGCTACATGTCTGAGAGGTAAAAGGGAAGAGGTGCCTTTATTTACACTGGAGGAAATAAATGAGATTTCCTTAGGCTGGGAAGGAGTGTAAACTGGTGCATCCTCATTCCCCTAGCAGCACCCTGGAGAAGTGTCAAGACCTATGGTCTGCTTAGAAAGGCTAGACCGCTAAGCACTAATTGCCTATAGAAAGGGGTGCTGGGGGACAGGGATGGAAGGCTTACTTTTCAGTCTCTATCCTTTCGTAAATCATTCAAAATAAAAATAATAATTATGTCTTAAATAGTAAACAATAATAACCTCGACTAGAAGTATGAGGTTTGTTTATTTGAAAGGGACATCTTGAGTCATTACACTGACCTCGTAAAACATATTTTCATTCCTCAAGCCTTCCTTCACTGTCTGCTGCTCCCTCAGCTTGGATTGTCCTTCTCCTCTTTATCTTCCCTGAACCTTCAATAAAATCTGACAATTTATATAATTTTTCAATTTACAAAGCACTTTTTAAAAAAATTTTTGGCTGCGCTGTAAGGCATGCAGGATATTAATTCCCCAACCAGGGATGGAACTCTGTGGCCTCTGAATTGGGAGCAGGGAGTCCTAACCACTGGACCACCAGGGAAGTCCCCTACAGAGCACTTTTAGATACATGATCTAATCTTCAAACAAAAAAATATATACAGTGAAGATGAATAATTTTATCCTCATTTAATAAATAAGAACACAGGGGATGAGAAAGTGCAGCAGCTTGTGCCAGGTCACAATTCTTATATTTCAGAGCTATAATTCAAATCTACAACTGCTAACAAGTCCAGTGATTTTCCCACTTTTTTTAAGCTACCTCCATCTAATGGAGGAACTGGGTAAAAATGCACAAAGATGTTTACTAAAGTGTTGTGCAATATCAATATTGCACGATAAATACCATCACATAGATCTCTATTTATCATGGAAAATATGGACAAACATCCATAATACTACATATAGTGAGAAAAGCAAGTTTAAAACAGATGTACACATAAACAATGTGTTTATGTAGAAAGAAGCTGGAAAGATATGTGTAGGAAAATGGGTTTTTTAAACAATGTGTTTATGTAGAAAGAAGCTGGAAAGATATATTGTGTAGGAAAATGGGTTTTTTGAATAAACTTTGTTTTTTGTTTTACTTTTTATTATTATTTTTTGGCTGTGCCATAGGGCACGCAGGATCTTAGTTCCCCGACCAGGGTTCAAACCCGTGCCCCCTGCATTGGGAGCTCGGAGACTTAACAACTGGGCCACCAGGGAAGTCCCCTCGTTGTTTTCTTTGTTTTGTTTTGTTTTGTTTGGCCACACCGCGTTACTTGAAGGATCTTAGTTCCGGGACCAGGGATTGAACCCAGGGCCACGGCAGAGAAAGCACCAAGTCCTGCCCACTGGACCGCCAGGGAATTCCCGGAAAACGTTTTTTAAAAGTTGTAATACTCTAAATTTTTATATATTATTACTAATACTAGATTAAATGCACATTAGTGCTTAATATGTGCTGAATAGTGGGATTATCTCATTTAATCCTCACAATAACCAACTTGCCTAAAGGCTTACTGTTAAGTAACGCAGCAGAACCGGACGAGTATCAAACCCCAAATCTCATGCTCTTTGGAGGTAGATCATCCTGTCTCACGTACAAAGATCATTTATTTTATAATCAGAAAAATCCATGAGGTTAGTTTAAGAAAATCCTGTTCAAAACTTCACTTCTCGTTGTCTCCTGTACTCCCCAATCTGGGTCTCTTACAGCACCTAGGGCCATCTGATTAGCATTGGTTGGTCCCTTATTCTACCTCTCCTAGCTGCCTGAAACCCCAGCTCACTTCCTCGCGCAGTGGGCGCCCGATACGTGGAACACTGAGGAGTGCCCTTTACTTAGCTCGTGGAGAACTTGAATTGATGATCAGTGCTCACACGACATTAGGAATTTCTTTCCAAGCATTGTAGGCTGGGGCCACACGAGGCCTCTCCATTTTCCTCGCGCACCATAGCCTCCTTGCCTGCACCTACTTCATGCCCTCGGCTTCCACAGTGCTCTCGTCCCAGCTGGGCCGGGAGCCCGAGGGTTCCCTAGGTCGCTGGACCTGCCCGGCCGACCCGCCAGGGCCCCAGCTCCGGCTCTCGGGACAGGTACAAGGGGCCCCACGTGGGCCTGGGAGCCGCCATCTCGCGTGCTGGCAGGACCAACTGGCGCTGTCGGAGCCGCGGCGGGGCGGAAGCTGCTGCCCGTACTCAAGATGGCGGCCCCGGCGGGCGGGGCCCACGGCTCGGAGACCGCGCGGAGGAGCGGCAGCATGGCGGCGGTGGCCGAGGAGCCGCGTCGGGGGTACTGGGACGACGAGGAGGAGGAGGAGGAGGAGGAGGCAGTGAGTGCGACGGCGGAAGCCCGCGCGGCGGTGGAGAGGGTGGCCGCTCGGCTGTGTGCGGGGAAGGGAGTCGGGACGCGGCGGGCGTGCGGGGGCTCCTGGCGGGATTGTGCCTCAGGGCGCGCGGAGCGGCGGGCAGCTGGCCCCAGCCCTATGGGCTACACGGAAGTTCGAGGGGGAAGGAGGGAAGTTACCTTAAGTAACGGCGCGCGCTTCCTCGTGTTGAAAGCAGGACCTAGTTTTCACAAAGGTGGGATCGTTGCATTGGGGAGGTTTGGCTTCTCTCGTTAATGCCTGCTTCTTCCTGCACACTCGCAAGCTAGCGCCTTTAACCCCTCTTTCTTCCACCAGGAGCAGTTGGTTCTGGTGGAATTATCAGGAATTATTGATTCAGACTTTCTCTCAAAATGTGAAAATAAATGCAAGATTTTGGTGAGTCTTGTAGAATTAGGGGGTTGTTGTAGATTTTCTTAAATTTAAAACAAGAATGAGTGGTGAAATATACCCGTCCCTAAGATTGATATATTAATTTCACGTGAACAAAGCAGTGAACGCTGGAGACAATTACAGTAGTACAGGGGGACTGTGGGAGCAGCTGGGAGAAAGTTAATGTCTAACTCTGCCTGAGTGTCTGCCTGTGTGGCTGGAGAGGTAGAGATTTGGAGGGTTAAAGCATTTTGATATGGAACATTAGGTTTTGAAAAAATACACCGTTTTATATAGTGAGGAGGGTGAGAAAAACACAAAGGGCAGAGAGGATAATTAGATATGCACACAGAGGTTAAACAGATGCAAACTGGTATATATAGAATGGGTAAACAACAAGGTCCTACTGTATAGCACAGAGAATTATATTTCAATATCCTGTGATAAATGATAATGGAGAATATGAAAAAATGTATATATGTACAATTGAGTCACTTTGCTGTACAGCAGTGATTACACAACATTGTACTTCAACTATACTTCAGTAAAAAATAAAATTAAAGGGGCTTCCCTGGTGGCGCAGTGGCTGAGAGTCCGCCTGCCGATGCAGGGGACACGGGTTCGTGCCCCGGTCCGGGAAGATTCCACGGGCCGCGGAGCCTGCGCCTCCGGAGCCTGTGCTTCGCAACGGGAGAGGCCACAACAGTGAGAGGCCCGCGTACCGCAAAAATAATAATAAAATAAAAATTTAAAAACTTCAAAAAATAAAATATGGAAAACAAACAAAAATAGTGTGGAGAAGGGAGAGAGAATACCTATTAAGAAAGGACTTCAGGGCTTCCCTGGTGGCGCAGTGGTTGGGAGTCCGCCTGCCGATGCAGGGGACACGGGTTTGTGTCCCGGTCTGGGAAGATCCCACATGCCGCGGAGCGGCTGGGCCCGTGAGCCATGGCCGCTGAGCCTGCGCGCCCGGAGCCTGTGCTCCGCAACGGGAGAGGCCACGGCAGTGAGGCCCGAGTACCAAAAAAAAAAAAAAAAAGGACTTCAGAGACCTCACACTGTGCTGTTGACTTGAGCTATGGTATTGTGAGTTACCGTCTGTTTTATTAAAATCTTTTGAGCATTTTTTTTTTTTTTTTTTTTTGCAGTTCGCGGGCCTCTCACTGTTGTGGCCTCTCCCGTTGCGGAGCACAGGCTCCGGACGCCCAGGCTCAGCGGCCATGGCTCACGGGCCCAGCCGCTCCAGTGGCATGTGGGATCTTCCCGCACCGGGACACGAACCCGTGTCCCCTGCATCGGCAGGCGGACTCTCAACCACTGCGCCACCAGGGAAGCCCTCTTTTGAGCATTTTTGACAAAACTTCCTCTGTTCTTACTTTATGTTGAAGAGGATGTTGATTGAAATAGACCTTGCTACTTGGGTATGAATTAAGTAGTCTTCAGTTTGTAGCTGCTGTGATGACAGCAGTTTTAGCTTATCTTTTACTTGCTAGGACAAGAAGCTCTAAAGGTTCCCCAGCTTTGGAAATCAGTCTCCTTGGTAGCAAGGTTTCATGTAAAAGTCTTGGTCTTTTTTTGCCATGCCACACGGCATGCGGGATGTGGGATCTTAGTTCCCTGACCAGGGATCGAACCCATGCCCCCTGCAGTGGAAGCGCAGAGTCTTAACCGCTGTACCACCAGGGAAGTCCCTTGTGCTTTCTTTTTTAAATTGAGAAATAATTGACATATAACATTATACTAGTTTCAGCTGTACAACGTTTTCAATATTTGCATATATTGTGAAATGATCACCACAATGTCTAGTTAACACCCATCACTACACATCGTTACAATTTTTTTTTCTCCTGGTAAGAACTTTGAAGGTTTACTCTCTTAGCAATTTTCAAATATAAAGTACAGTATTATTAACTATAGTCACCATGATGTTCTTAAACATCCCAGGACTTATTTATTTTGTAACTGGAAGTTGGTATCGTTTGAGCCCCCCCTTCAACCCATTTCACCCATTCCCCCCACCCCCAAGGCTTTTTCTAATGATGATTTTTTTAATGATCCTCTATTCTGTTGTAGGGAATTGATACTGAGAAGCCCATTCTGCAAGTGGACAGCTATGTCTTTGCTGGAGAGTATGAAGGTAGGAGGAAGTCAGATAGATGAAACTCCCTTTTTTTTTTATATGCCTTTCAGAGAAAGTAGCTCTGTTACTTCTCAACAAGTTGCCTTCATGTTTTTCTGCAGACACTCTTGGGACCTGTGTTATCTTTGAAGAAAATGTTGAACATGGTAAGTGATTGCTATGTTGACTCAACTCTTTTTACTCTGAAATATTTCAAACATACTTATGTATGGTGGATATTAAAATTATAAGATCTCATGTACCCCTTGTCTAGCTGTATCAAATCCTCCCTTTTGGTTAGGTAGTTAAAAAACATTCCACATACCTTTGAAGCCCCTTGTATACCCCTCTCCAAACCTACTCCCTTCCTCTGTCTTCAGAGTTAATCACTCTCCTGAATTTGGTGTTTTTCTTTCCTATACCTGATTTTATATTACATATGTATGTATCCGCACACAATAAATAGCACTTTCTGTGTATTTTCACACTTGATATAAGTTATAGCATATTATACATATTATTCTATGTCTTTTTTCAATTAGAGATGTTTCGAGATTTATACGTGTTGATATATATCTGTTTTCCCTGTTGCTTAAGATTCCATTTGTGACTATACCACAGTTTATTCTCCAATTTATGGACATGTAGGTTGCTTCCATTTTTACCAGTAATTATTAATAACTACTAAAATTTACTGAGTGCTTTCTGTATGTCAGGCACTGTTCTAGGTGCTATAAGTATTAACTCATTGAATCCTCACCACAAGTCTATGAGGTAGATGCCATTGTTATCTTCATTTTATATTTGAAGAAACTGAAGCACAGAGAGGTAAATAACATTCCTGAGGTCATACACAAAATAAGAGGCAGAGCCAGGATTTGAACCCAGGTGGTCTGCTCCAGAGCCCATTTTCATAATTATGCTTATTAACTCACTACAGAAATGCTGCCATGAATACTTTTATGTTTCCTTTTGCATATATGTAAAAATGTCTTGATGAGTGGGTGTACTAGATTCAACCATATGAAATTACCAATTTGGGCCGAATAGCGACAGTTTCATGTGGTTGAACTTAATAGATGTCACTGTGTTGCTTTCTAAAGTGTAGTATCAGCCACACAGTGGCAGGGTGTGGAAGTTTTCCGTGTGCTTCACATCCTTAGCCCAGAGCCTCATCCTCCCTCCTGCCTACGCCCACAGTTTTGATAAAGCTGTGACCCCCAGCAGCAGGTTGGCAGCAGTTTTTTTCTCATCTTCTTTCATGATCGGTAATGTTCTCCACTCCAGTCCGGCTTCAAGCAGTAGGTCTGCCTTTGGTCCTTCACTTTGAGTGGCAGAGTTTTCGACCTCATTACCCTGTAAGGCCAAATTCCTGGCCTCCCTTTCCTGCTTCCGGGCTGGAGCCTAATAGGCCCATAGCTTTAATCTCACTTTGTGTTTCTGTCCCCTAGAGATGTTTGTTGTCTTTGAGTTCACTGTGCCATCTGTTCTTATGTATTTTATCTGATATTTCTCTGTGCTTGGAGCTGGAGGAATGAGTTAAATCTTTTTTTTTTTTTTTTTTTTTTTAAATCCTGAACTTACTACACTGTCTTGACAGGAAGTAGTTTAACTCTCTAAACTGGAATCATTGAGGCTTAACATGATTATTTGATGGCATCAAGCAGTATAATAGTGTTCATTTTATATTCTAGTGGATGCAGAAGGCAATAATAAAACAGTGCTAAAATATAAATGCCACACAATGAAGAAGCTCAGCATGACAAGAACTCTTCTGACAGAAAAGAAGGAAGGAGAAGAAAACATAGGTTAGTTCACTTAGTTCTCTGAAAATAGGTGATTTGGTATTGGCTTTATGAAACACTGCTGCCAGGATGTTCTTTGTACTTTGTAGTAATAACTATATGTGATAGGTAAAGTATATTAAAATTGAGGGTACTCCATGAAAAGTACCAAACATAGATTTAGAATTGAGTTGAATTCTCACATAGCAGGGGGCACTGGAGACATATAAGAAATTTCTATCTTCTTTGCATTGGAAACGATTGTGAGGAGTTTGTCAAGAAACTTGACATGATTTCAACCCCAGGGAATTCAGCAACTACTTCTCTCTCTCTCTCTCTCTCTCTCTCTCTCTCATTAAAACTTCTTTGTAAGTGCAGAAGATATGATGATAGCAGTTCTCGATTCCCAAGGAGTAACCCCATAGGATCTCCTGAACTTTTGGCAGATGCAGTAACCTTCCCCAAGATGCTCACAACTGGAAGAAGCTGGCTTTATATGTGGGAGGGACTCTAGGACCAGAGTTGTTAGTCCTGTGTCTCATTCTTAATGAGCATCCATTTAGCCTTCTCCAGTTGCTCGTCATCCCACACTAGAGACCTTAGGCCAGTGCTTCTTGCACCCATAGCAGGCGCACGTTTGTGGAGATGAGCAAATAAACACTTGGTGGTTTAAAAACCCATTGTTCACCACACCAACCTGTTTCTCTTGCCCTAGGGAATTTGGGACACAGTCAGAATAAAGGTGTTTGTCCACCAAAAAAAAAAAAGGCTTATTGCTCAAAGACATATTTGAAACTCTAGTAAATGAGACCCTATTGATGAATATTCATGGTTTGATTTATTGTATTTTAAGGAATAAACATTTGAAGGTACATTAATCATTTAGAAATTAACTATACCAGCTACACGTAACTATATAACAAATCTTTGTTCTTATATATTCCACAATTATCCCTTTTTTTAGGCACTCCAAAAATAATAGGAAGTAGGCACTTGAAGTTCTAGAATGAATTCGAAAGGCAGATACATACCAGATAGCTTAGCTATCATTTAGATATTCTTTTTAAAGGAAGTTATACAATTTCCTCTCCTATAGTTCTTAATAATCTAATAGATCTTTGGGAAGATTTGTGTGTATCTTTCAATCAAATAAATTAGTAACGAACTATTCAAGGCTGTATTGGTTATCTGTTGCTGCATAAAAAGTTACCCCTAAACTTAAAGGCTTAAAACGACAACAACAGAACACCATCTTACACGTTTCTGTGAATCAGGAATTGGGGAGCAGCTTAGCTAGGTTGTTCTGGCTGGGGTCTCTCATGAGGTTGCAGTCATTGTGTTGGCTGGGCTGTAGTCATCTGAAGGCTTGAGTAGGGCTGGAAAATCTAATTGTAAGATGGTTCACTCACATAGCTGGTGAGTTTGTGCTGCCTGTTGGCAGGAGGCCTCACTTCCTCACCTCCTCACACTACTGTCTGAGTGCCCTCCTGACACGGCAGCTGGCTTTCCCAGACCAAGTGATCCTTAAGAACAAGGTAGAAGCCACAATGTCTTTTATGAACTATCCTTAGAAGTCACATTCTGTCATTTCTGTGATATCCTATTCCATGTGGGAGGGGACGACACAGGGGCGTGCTTGTCAGGAAGGTGAGGATCATTGGGGACCATCTTGGAGGCTGGCTGCCAAACATGGCAAGATGCTGGAGGCAGAACAAAATAGACAGGAGATGTGGTCCTTACTTTCTAGGAACTTGTACTCTAAAGTATTGAAACAGACATGGATGACTATGACTCGACACCCATTTCACTCAACTTATTTTAAGTATCTGTTATGTGCCAAGTATTATGCTAGATAAGAGTAGGCTTTACGATGGCTTTGAGGTTTTGAACTTGGTGACTAGGAGAATGACGTTATAGCAAGAAAAAACTATGAAGTCAATAGTTGAAGCTGAACTGGAGGGAAAGAACAAATCGATTTTTGAAAGAGGGAGACTTTACAGTAGTAATACATGAGAAAAGATGTGGGATCAACAGTAAGGATGTTTCAACAAACAGCTGCAGAAGAGTTAGTTTATGATGGGGGATAGGAACAGATGGATGCGTGAACAGGGTGACGAGATAGGTTGGTATATCTTACAGCTATCTAACGGAACTTTGAAGGTGAGAGTAAACAGCTTGGGCTATAGGAATTGAGGATCCATTGAAAATACTTAACTGAAAGGGTCATAAGGATGAAAGAAAAAAATGGCTAGCATTATTGGAGCAATTTTTTTTTTCAAGATTTATTTATTATTTATTTTATTTATTTTTGGCTGTGTCAGGTCTTAGTTGCAGCACACGGGATCTTCGTTAAGGCATTTGGGATCTTTCGTTGCGGCGCATAAGCTCTTCGTTGTGGTGCATAGGCTTCTCTCTAGTTGTGGCGCGCAGGCTCCAGGGTGCGTGGGTTCTGTAGTTTGCAATACACAGGCTCTAGTTGAGGCACCCGGCCTCAGTAGTTGTGGCATGCGGGCTTAGTTGCCCTGCAGCATCTGGGAGCTTAGTTCCCTGACCAGGGATCAAACCCGTTTTCCCCTCATTGTAAGGAGGATTCTTTACCACTGGACCACCAGGGAAGTCCCTGGAGCAATTCTCAATTATGGGAATTCATTGACAGGTAAGGGCTTTGACTGTGAGTATGGAAAGGAACAAAAAATTTTTTCAAGGGTTTTTTTTTGAGAGGTGTCTTATTTCACAATTGGATTTTTCAACTCAAAGTGACAAATAAATGTTGACTCAAGATGATAGAGTGGTATCATCCATTGTATTATGAGAACTGAATGGGTAAGGAGAAAGTTGTAGGGAACTGACAAAATTTTCTTCAAGACAAAAGATGGCAGTGGGAGCTTAGTTATCTCTCAGAATGAGTTGGGAATTGGACTCTGGGAAAAGGGCTTGGAATAGTAACTGAAGTTGATTACTTTTAGTGATTTTGATGATGCATACCCTATAGGCATTCCAAGGTCTCCATGTAAGATGGAAATTACATGATCATTTATCAGTAGGTACAGGCACCATGTTCCTTTCTTTACGTTGGGGTTTTATTTTGATAGATATTCATATGAACAATTAAATTAAAAATATATGTAAGTAACTGAAATTCCTTTTTCATGTTTCTTGGTTTGTCCCCCTGCCTCCTCCATTAGGTGGTGTGGAATGGCTGCAAATCAAGGAAAATGATTTCTCCTGTAGACCCAACATGATTTGTAGTTTTCTGCATGAAAATGAAGAGGATGAAGTTGTAGCTCCAGACCCAGATAAATCTTTGGAGTTGGAAGAGCAAGAGATTCAAATGAAAGATAATTCAAACCTGAGTTATGAACAGGAGAAACCACCGAACTTGGATATAGAGGATTCTGGTCCTCTTATTGATATCCCTTCTTCTGAGACAGAAGGCTCTGTTTTTATGGAAACTCAAGAAACTGCCTTAGAAATCACTCCTAGATGAAATGTTTCTCATAAAAACTAGTCATGAAGTTTTTAGAGTTTTTATATAAAATAACTGGCTTTGTAGTTTTCAGTTCACAATTTTATTATTTTTGTTGGCTATATACACGTTTCCAATTATAATATAGTTTAATATACTAGAATCATTAAGGACCAGATACGAGTTTTTAAAAATATGGTTTCAATGACTATAGGGACCCTTCTGTGATGAGTCCTTTAAAATGGGGGTTTTACTAAGGTAAGTTTGAGTTTCTATTGCAGCCATCACAAATTACCACAGACTTAGTGGCTAAAGTGTATTAAGCTACACAAGTGTATTGTCTTATAGTTTTGTAGGTCAGCCATCTGATATGGGTCTCACCTGGGCTAAAATCAAGGTATTTGCAGAGCTTCATTCTCTTCTGGATGTGGCATGGGGGACTCCATTTCCTCATTCATTCAGTTGTTGGCAGAATTCAGTTCTTTGCAGCTGAAGGATCACGGTCCCATTTCCTTGCTGTTGGCTGAGAGCCATTCCCAGCCAAACCACTTCTAGACGCTGCCTGCATTCCTTCACTCATGGTCCCCTTCTCTTCAAAGCCAGCAATGGTCAAGTCCCCCTCAGTCTTTGAATCTCTCCTGCTTCTTCCATAATCCTATTGATGATGGACCCTTCTGCCTTCTTTTAAAGGTCCATTTGATTACACTGGGCATATCTGGGTAACTTCCCTATTTTAAGGTCTATAACCTTAATTCCATCTGCAAAGTCCCTTTTGCCATGTAATTTAAACAGGCATAAAACTGAGAATTATGGCATGAAAATATTTGGGGGGCCATTTTCCAGTCTACCAAAGTCAGTATTACTCCTGAGAACAGAAAAAGAATTCAGAAGTGCTTAAGGGTGAAGGTACAGTTCTGATATTCCAGCTGTAATTTCACTTCTTTCCCACTGAAGAAAGATGATTGGAATTCAGCTGTAACATTCTACAATATTATGGTGATAACCTAGATCTACCCTAACTTGTATTTTTTAAGTAAATTAGTCACAAACTTTGATACAGGTTGAACTATATGAAATTACCAATATTTGTTTCTGACTATAAAACTCTGCAATTTTATATGGTTTAACCTGGTATTAATAAGTTGAAACACTCCTCACATTAATTATATCTCACAACTGTTGGAGGTGTAACTTTGTTGTGACAGATTAGAGAACTAATGTTCTAGGATGAGGAATTTTTTCCTTCAGTAGGTTTTGTAAATTTTTACTGTTTATTTGGAAAACAACTTACCCTGATTAAAAGCATTTCCAAATCATAAGTGTGTATCCTCCCAATTTTTATATGACTTTAGTGTCAGCTTTTGTTTAATCAAAAGCTTATTTTTTTCTACCAAATGGTATGAAGTCTCTATGTGGAGAGACTGCTAATTACTTGAGCCAGCATCTGGTCTTCCTTTATTTGTTTGTAACAGAATCCCAGAATTTATTCAGGTTAGCAGTGTGCCCAGCTTTCCTCATGTATATGAAAGTGGCCGTATTATCTAGATGTTAGTTCTTCCCAGCTTGATCTATAGTTTCAATGCAATCTGAAATAAAATCACAGCAAGTTTTTTATGGATATTGTCAAACCAACTCTAAAGTTTATATGGAGAGGGAAAGACCCAGAATAGCCAATACAATATTGAAGAACATAGTAGAAGGACTTCACGACTTACTATAAAACTACAGTAATAGAGACAGTGGGAACTGCTGAAAGAATAGACAAATCGGTCAATGGAAGAGAATAGAGAGCCCAGAAATAGACATACATATAGTAAAATGATCTTAGATCAAGGAGCAAAGGCAATACAATGGAGCAAACATAGTCTTTTCAATAAATGGTCCTGGGACAACTGAATATCCATATGCAAAAGAATGAAGTGGGACCCCCCCATCTCTACTATATGTATATATAGATTTATTCAAAATGGACCAAAGGTCTAAATAAATGTAAGAGCTTAAAATGATAAAACTCTGAAGAAATACAGGTATAAATCTTTAGAGACTTCCCTGATGGTCCAGTGGTTAAGAATCTGCCTGTCAATGCAGGAGATATGGGTTCAGTCCCTGGTCCGGGAAGATCCCACATGTTGCAGAGCAACTAAGCCTGTGTGCCACAGCAACTGAGCCTGCGCTCTAGAGCCTGTGAGCCACAACTACTAAGCCCATGCGCCACAATTACTGAAGCCTGCACGCTCTAAGGTCTGCGTGCTGCAACTATGGAAGCCCACATGCCTAGAGTCTGTGCTCCCCAGGAAGAGAAGCCACCGCAATGAGAAGCCCACGCACCGCAACGAAGAGTAGCCTCTGCTCACTGCAACTAGAGGAAGCCTGCGCTCAGCAACGAAGACCCAATACAGCCAAAAAAAAAAAAAAATCTTTTATTATGTTGGATTAGGAAATGTCCTCTTAGATATAACACAAAAATTGCAAGCAACGAAAAAAAGATGGATACATTGGACTTCATCAAAATTGAAAAGTTTGGGCTTCCCTGGTGGCGCAGTGGTTGAGAGTCCACCTGCCGATGCAGGGTACACGGGTTCGTGCCGTGGTCCGGGAAGATCCCACATGCCGCGGAGCGGCTGGGCCCGTGAGCCGTGGCCGCTGAGCCTGCGCGTCTGGAGCCTGTGCTCCGCAACGGGAGAGGCCAC